GTTACTTAGATATAACCTAATGGAATATCTTCAGAACAGCTCCAAATGACACAAAACTCATATGGGTGAGTAGAACTTAATGTAATAACATAAAACAAAGGGCCCAATGTAAAAAAAACTGTGTTTCCCTTTAACAAATACAAAAGCGAACGGAAAAGGATTTGAAAAGAGGCACTTTTTGCTGTTATCGTAGCTGCAGGGTTTTTATATTACTTCTATGTAAGCTTTACACATAGAGGCATAAAATTATAAATTTCCTTCTTTATAATTCTTCTCATCACAAGATATATTACATTTAAAAGGAAGTTTCTCAGAAAAGCATTTCACTGTAGCTCTGGCTGTATGTTTATATTTACATTGAAGATTTTATTTTGCTCCATCTGCCTTTATGTATGTATATATGCACACATATATATATAGTGAATTCTTTTTTTCTATTGTTGTTTGTTGTTGTAACCTAGAAAACCAATCCAGAGGACAGCGTACCCAAAGAATTCACTCAAAAAGAAGCAGCAAAACTTACAAGAAAATTACTCAAACAATAGGAAGCAGAGTAAACCATCCAGAAGGTTTTTTTTTTTTTTCAAAATGTTTCTCCAGTTAATGTAACTGAATAAATATAACCACTACCCACCTCTGCTGACTGCTCAGGTGTATCAACAATAGGATAAAAAGAATTCACCAACAGCTGCCTGCACTGCTGTATTTATAGTGGTTAGGGCATAGAGCTTGGATTCCTGAGGTTCTCGGTTCGAGCCTCCTACTTCCACAGACTCCCACTCTGGGTCCCTGAACAAGACCCTCCAATGTGAGATCAATAAAGTTCAATTATCAAAAATATAAATTATTATTATATATAAATATTAATAGCCAGTATAGGACTTCTGGATAGATGCAAACTACATTTGGTTGCTTTCTACTTGTGACAGTGTAATGACAATTAATTTGAATCCTACACTATTCTATAAAACAGACCAGTCTGAAGTAGATTATTTTAACATTTGTTAAGTCCACAATATTGCAGGAATATCTCAGCATCTAAAATTAAAAATTTCAAGTTATTTCCAGGTGAGACGAATAATACCTGAGGAAGAGACCCTGTCTGGAGGCAATCAACCAGGGACCTGATACCCGTCTCCTCCACAAAATAATCCAGACCCTCTAAACCAAAAAATAAAAAAACACAAACCGGAAATTAATCGTAAAAGATACCGTAATTAAAAATGCTATCATCCATAGTGTTTGAGATATTACAATAAAGTACATATTGTCCTAGAATTACAGCATTAGCGTATTCTGTTTAACACCCAACATTGAGGTAAGTAAACAAACTTTCATTCAGCCTGAGATGCAATTGTGCAAGTACATTTACTGTAGTGGATAAAGCAATAGTGAGCATTCACCATGAACTTCCTGTACTCCTGAGCTCACCAGCAGCACAACCAGAGCCATCACTAAGCAGCGGTTCATAGTAAATCCTTTCCAGGGATTTGGAACATCGTTCAAGTTTTCAATGGACAGAATACGCTCATAAGACACTATGGAAAGATGGAAATATATCAAAGACATTTTTTGTTGTGTCCACAGATCCAGGTGGGTCATTTCTGGTAGACTTTAGACTTACTGCTTTTATTTATTCGTTGTTTGCTTCAGTTCTGGCTTCCTAACTCTGAGGATTGGGATGAAAGTTTGATGCAGAGTGAAGCTAAGAGATAAGAGAGAGAAAAATATATTTGTAGAATGAATGCTTTAAATCAGGGCCTACAGACATACAGAGCTTTAAAAGTTGTTGCAGACGCTCTCAGTTATATATTAGCCAACAGAAAAAAAAAACTTACCACAGCTGCTCCTCCTCCCACAGATGTGAGGGTCGGAAAAGTTTTTGTTTGGAGCCTCGAACAGTGGCAGAGCCACACAAACCCTGCGGCGTGCCCCTGAGCTTCCTGATTGACAGGAACAGATGGAAAACGACATTGATAGCGCTCGCTTTCCGACAGATGGAGAAAGCGTCTTAGAAGCAGCAGAAGCTACAGTGTCTTGCAAAACTGTTCATACCCTTTAAATTTTTTCACTTTATGTTAATGTGTTCTAGCCACAAACGTTATGGATTTTAATTTTACAGATTTATGTGATAGACGATCAACCAGCTGCATTTCTCAACAGATTCTGGGTTAGAATCCAGTCTGGATTTTGACTGAGCCTTTCAAACACATAAAAGAAATACTTTCATCTGAACTGTTCCATTAAATCCCTATAGCTGTATCTTATGAGCCATTTCGCTGCTGAATGATGAGTTTCTTCCTCAGTCTGAACTCATCCTCAGCCCACCAACAGCTTCCCTTTATCCAATTTGGAAAAGAATCCCACGGCATGATGCTACCACCACTGTGTAAGCACCAGGTATGCAATTGAATTGCTGATGTTTTTTCATACATCTTAATAAAGAATAATCACGTTGACATTTCAATTAATTACTTTCTATTTAC